AGAAACTATTGAACTAGAAAGCTGAAGTCTATAAGGACTCTAATCTAGGTTCCTCCTTTTGATTCTGCATATTTTTCCTTTATTTTCTTCCAAAATAGGGAACAATAGGGAAAGAAGAGGGATGGATTGACTCTTGTCAATTCTGATTCTAAAATCCTTGAGTAAAGGGGCTCTGCTTTGTCCATTTGGGTGAGGTGCCTGTCATTGGACCAACTTTAAGTACGGAGTGGCACATGGGGAAAAGAGTTTAACCAGATCAGTTCATGTGAAGTGCCTACACTGGATCAATCCCCCAGGGGCTGAGAAGGGGGCTAGGAGTAGAAGAAGGGAGGCAGGCTTATCTTGTATAAAATGGTTGACAAAGTTAGGTATTTCATAAATGGAGACTCTTTAATAACTTAAGAGTATCATTGTCAAGATAGTACCATGATTTTACCCCTACGTGGCACACTTCTAATTTCTATTTTGCAATGATTTCTGTGTAATTTTAGTGATGGTTAACTGATTGTCTTTCCTGTAAATGAGACTTTTTTGAGAGATAATAGATCCATATATTTGAGAATATAAAATTCATTTAATTTATGCCTCTCTGAATATTTTCTAGATTCAAGTAGTTCATGCATGGATGGAAATCAGACATTGTCTCCTACAGAAGGTAATATGCTTTCTTATTGAGGGCCAGCATTGAGGGGTTGAACTTTGTTAGTTACAGTGGCTGATGGCCTGACAGTGGGCCACCCTCACATCTAACTATAGAATATGGTGATCTCAGTGCTGTGGTGTGAGGTACCCTGATGATTCAACCACTGCTTGCTTCCCCAAACAAGGCTCAGTCTTACTTGCCTCTACAACTTTGTCAAGTTGGAGTGGTGGAAAGAGCATGGGTTGAACTTCCTGTCAGCTCTAAGTTCAAGTCCTCTCTCTTTCTTCATCTAGTTATGTAATCTTTAGCTGACCATGAATACCCAGAAGAGACAAGTGACCCTATAATGGAAAGGAGAGATGTTGTTGAGTACAGAGTTTAGCACAACCAAGGTTCATTCACATAAAAAGTTTGTCCCACCATAGCTGCTTCTGCCCATGTTAAAGTGCTGATGACACTGACCTCACCTTTGTTAGAGATGAGCTATGGCAGATGCATTGGTTGAGTAATCATCTCTCGGCAAACCACTCTTAGTCATGGACAGCTCATGTTGGTTTATGAGAAGTGTGAGGGTCTGTGTTAAAAATTGCTTGAAGGTCACAGAGCTTAATGTTTTCCTTTAAAAGAGGTACAAAAGAATCTACTTTTGTATTAAATCTGATAACTAGATTGAACATACAGAAACCAAATCTGTGATCAAAATTTACTTAAAAGCAATTGCAGGCAGGCCAGCTGCACTCTCTGGAAGTGTATGTTTAACTGAACTGCAAGAAAGGGAAAATTATCTAAAGGCTGTGTTTGACAATATCACACTTTGGCAATCCCAAAACAATTTTTTTGTCTTTGTTTCTTAATTTATATACCACACTATTTTTTCATCAGAAATAAATATTTTTAGACATCTCTTATCACTAGACATCATCATTTTTAATTTTCATGTAATTACTAATGTGATGAAACAGAAGATTATTCTAAATTCTGTTAATTCCCCTGACCGTTTTATTGCCTCCAAACATAAAGTTTCTAGCTAGTTCAACCTGAATTCCATTTGAGTTACTTTTAATGAAAGTACCATATACTTTTCACATCTGTGTCAACAGTTAAGGATTGGCATTTAGATTTGAAGTTACTGATATTTTTTACTTATCAAAACTCAAGGGGAGACAACCACATGACCAATTACTCCATCATAAATTATATGATAAATCCAACATTGCTCATCACCAAAACATTAGATTTAGGACACTGCTTTTGTCATTTAATCTATAATTCTCTTTTTTGTCTGTTTCTATATATCAAAATTCTGATCTAATTCCAATATTCTCATAATGAATATTCTTTCTACATTAATGAATAAGTTAGAATAAATTGGTCAACATTTGGATTTGGTTTGATATATTATATATTTTTGTGAAAGTTAACTTATTGTGTAAATCTGGAATAAGATCACCAGGAAAGCAAGGTTCTAGTACAACTTTATGTAATCTTCCATGAGGCAGAGTTCTCTTGTATAAAATGGTTGACAGTTAGGTGTTTCATAAATGGAGACTCTTTAGTAATTTATGAGTATCATTGTCAAGATAGTACCATGAAAAATCGAAAACACAAAGTTCTTTATCAAGGTTTTCTTTTCTCATTCTCCTTGTGTGTGTCCAGATAACATTTCGCTGTCTGTGCAGATGGGTACAAAGGCTGTGCTCTGTTGCCCTCATATTCCACCAACATCAGTGTTGATACTAACAACATGGAAAATACACCTCAGAGACAAGCCTTTGTGCATCATGTCCCTCCATGGAGAAACAAATCAGACCGGGAACAACAACTGTACTGATGGGAGAATCTCCTGGGCCTCCAGACCTGACCAGAATCTTGAACTTCAGATCCATCCAGTGTCCATCTCACATGAAGGGGATTACAGGTGTGAAATGGGAGCAACTGATGGAAATTTTGAACATACATATCACCTCCAAGTGTTAGGTAAAGAATGTCGTCTACTGTGATATTTTGGGTTACTAGATTTGTGACTGAAACAGATGTCTCTGTAATCCCATAACCGTATGTTGAGACTGAAGCATGATTTCCCTTCCATCTCTGCAGTGCCCCCTGAAGTGACCCTGTCTCTGGAGAAGAACAGAACTGTGGAGTGCAAAGCAATTGCAGGCAGGCCAGCTGCACAGATTTTTTGGGCCCCGGAGGGGGATTGTGTCACTGGGAAAGAATACCAGGACAATGGCACAGTGACGACCAGGAGTAGGTGCCATTATCCAGATGGCAATCTGTCCACCGTGACCTGCTTGGTCTCCCACCCGACTGGCAACAGGAGTCAATCCATAGATCTGCTTCCTGGTTAGTAATTCTAGTCCCCCCCCCCATTCTTTTAGAGGCATTATGTCAGAAAGAAAAAAAGAATGTACAGAGAAATTTCATTTATAGATACTCCACTTTAGCCTCCACTTTAATCTCTATAGTTTCCAAAATAAAAAGATAGGTTTAGAAGAATATCACATACATTGTTGTAAAAAGCAATATTTTAGAATATAGTTTATTCTCCTTTTAAAGCTCACTTCTATACTGATCATAAATCGGGTTGAGTAGTATATTTTTAAAAGAACACACATGTATTTAATAGAAGTATTTCATTCTCCCTTCCCAGACCACTGACGGTCAGGCTTTCCCTCTGAGGTAGGAGACTGGAGGGTTATTTTCTGAAGGCACTTTTCAGAGCCCAGACCTCCCTCTAGTATTGCTCTGCAGTCTGGCACCTCATCTCCACCCTCCATGATGTCTGGATCCTTGACTCTAGATCACCTTCTGAGACCGGAGGCCCCTTTTACTGTTGGTTGGGGAAGGGTGTGGCAGGGCACTTGGCAGCTTACCTGTTCTTTTTCTTTTTTTTTTTGAGAGGGGTACTGGGCACTGAACTCAGGGACACTTGGCCCACTGAGCCACATTCCCAGCCCTATTTTGTATTTTATTTAGAGACAGGATCTCAGAGTTGCTTAGTGTCTCGCTGTGCTGAGGCTGGTTTTGAACTCATGATCCTCCTGTCTCAGCCTCCTGAGTGTCTGGGATTACAGGTACACACCACTGTGCCTGGCTGCAGTTTACCTGCTCTACCACAGACTTTCAGAGATGCTCCCAACTTTTAGGCCTACACTTTAGTCCCCTGCCAGGTACTACTTTTTCTATTGCTTTTACACATTTATCTCTTTTTAAAGCTCTGTTTTATTTGTAATTGACATAATAATTTTATATATCTATGGGATATAAAGTGATAAATTGATACATCTCTACATTGTGAAATGATCTTTCACAGTAATTAGCATATCTCTCAACTCAAATATTTATCATTTATTCATGGAAAGACCATTTTAAAATCCTCTAGTGGTTTTAGAATATTTGATGCTTTCTATTCTTTCTGGAGGTTTGTGGGCACTAAGATTTTCACTTATTTCACTGTTTATATCATGTGCAATTCTTCCATTTGTTTTCTTTTTACTCAAAAAAAGGTTGTAATCTTTCATCTGTTCTTGTCTTCATTCCTGTTCTCTTTGTCTTTGGAAGTCTATATTTTAAACCTTTTCTTACTGATATTTTAGTAAGTTTTAAGAAGGGAGAAGGGCAAAGTCTATGTTTAAATCACAATTTTTCAATATTCATTCCTGTTTTGTTTTAAAAGAGTCTAGCAGTATTTATTGAGAAGAGTAATTATGTCTCGGTAGTACATAAAATCCACCGTCCAGTGTTATGACAAGATGCTGTATTTATAGAATATAGAATTGAAGGGACCATCTAGTTCAAACTTCCATATAGTGCAAAAATCTAGTCTGCCTTCCTTGCACATCCAGTAAGAGATATCTCATTAGTTTGGAAAAGAGAATTTCAAAAACAATGTTATTGTTTTAACAATAAAAGCCAAGTATTTTTTTTTCAAATAAAATACTGAGAAGTTCAACTTTTAAAAATGTGAATTATTGAAGGAAGTTGAAGGGACTGGACCCCAGCCTGCTCAGCCTCTACTTCCTCCTCCTTCTGCTGCCCTCAAGCCACATTCATGAAACATAGGAGAACAGTTTTGCAAAGAGTGCTTAATTTTGTTGTTGTTGTTGTTTTAATTAGTTATACATGACAGCAGAATGCATTTCAACTCATTGTACACAAATGGAGCACAATTTCTTACATCTCTGGCTGTACATGATGCAGAGTCACACTGTTTGTGCAGTCATACATGTACATAGGCTAATAATATCCATCCCGTTCCACCGCCCTCCCCACCCCCAAACCTTCTCCCCTCCCCTCACTTCCCTCTGTTCAGTCCAAAGTTCCTCCATTCTTCCCTAGCTCCTCCTCCCCCGCCCCTCAGTATGGATCAGCATCCACATATCAGAGAAAATATTTGACCTTTGGTTTTTTGGGGATTGGCTTATTTTACTTAGCACGGTATACTCCAACTACATCCATTTACCTGCAAATTCCATAATTTCATTATTCTTTAAGGCTGCATAATATTCCATTGTGTATATATACTACATTTTCTTTATCCATACATCTGTTGAAAGGCACCTAGTTTGGTTCCTTAGTTTAGCCATTGTGAATCGAGCTGCTATAAACATTGATGTGGCTGCATTACTGTAGTATGCTGATTTTAAGTCCTTTGGGACTGGGATAGCTGAGTCAAATGGTGGTTACATTTCAAGTTTTCTAAGGAATCTCCAGACTGAAAACAATGCTTCTTGATCTGGCAATTTGTTTTTTGACTTGTGCAGTTCGACTGAGTTATACTGTGGCCCGAAGCTAACAGATCATTTAAGGTTGCTACTTTACCTTCATCTTAGTTTCAATGCCTGAGAAGAAAGGTGACTTTAGAATTAGGGTTCTTTTCCCAATTACCTTCCTTTATAATGAACCATTTTTTCCTGAATGCTGAAGGTGAGAAGCACTCTGCTCTTACTATAACAGTGATACCTAAATTTTGTGTCTTTCTAGGAATTCATTATTTGTGAACCTTAAGACAGCAAATCTTCACTAAGATTATGTCTTTCTGGAAGCTCTAAAGTCTAAGCTGATAAAACAATTTAATTATAATAATTATTTGAACTATCAATGGGTCAGAAGTGTTTAAACTAAAATTTAAAAAATGAATTTCATGTACTTTGAGACATCATTGAACGCCATACATATTGTATACTTGAATTGATTTTATTTTTTAGAGCACTTTAGGTTCAGAGAAAATTTGGGTGGAAATACATAAAATTTTCATATAACCCCTGGTCCACCCAGGCACAATCCCCCCTACTATAGGCATCCCAAATCACGTATTATACTTATTACCATCTATGAACCTACATTGGCACACTACCCAAAGTCCACAGTTCATATTAGGGTTCACTCTTGATGGTGTATGTTTTATGAGTTTGAACAAATGTATATTGCCATGTAGAGTCTGACTGCTATAAAAATCTTCTGTGCTTCCTCCTTGCCTTCTATTCCTGGCAATCACAGATCTTTTTATTGATTCTGTTATAGTTTAGATATGAGGTGTCCCCCAAAAGCTCATGTGTAAGACAATGCAAGAAAGCTTAGAGGTGAGGTATTTGGAGTATGAGACCCTAACTTAATCAATACATTAATTCCTAAATAGGTATTAACTGGTGGTAACTGTAGGCAAGTAGGGTATGGCTGGAGGAGGTGGGTCACTGGGGCATGCCTCTGGGTGTATTTGGTCCATGATGAGGGGAATCTCTCGTTCTCCTTCCTGGTTGCCATATTCCCATCTGCTTCCCTCCTCTACACCCTTCCACCATGTTGTACTGTCTCCTGTTCAGACCAGAGCAATGCGGTTGTCTGTCTATGGACTGAGACCTCTGAAACCTTGAGCACCCAAATAAACTTTTCCTCCTCTGAGTGTTCTTGTCAGGTCTTTTGGTCACAGCAGTGAAAAAAAAAAACAAAAAACTAAATCAGTCTTCTCAGATTTGCCTTTTCTAGAATACCATATAGTTGGAATCATATAATAAATAGACTTTCAGTTTGGCTTGTTTCACTTAATAGTATGTATGTTAGTCAGCCTTTTATCCTTGTGACCAAAATATCTGACAAGACCGACTTAGAGGTGCAAAAGTTTATTTTTGCTCATGGTTTCAGAGACGTAGTTCATGCTTGGTGGGTTGCATTCCTCTGGGCCCACAGTCAAGTGAAGCATCATGATGAAAGGGCAGCAAGGAGGAAAGCTGCTGAGTTCACGGCACCCAGGAAGCCGAGGGTGGGGGAGGGCAGGGAAGGAGGAGAAAGAGAAGAGAAAAGAGAGCAAGCAAGGGAGGAGTCCAGGGGGATAGGATAGAGTCCTCAAGGGCTCACCCCCAGGAATCCACCTTCCCCAGGCATTCCCCACCTGCCTCAGTTATCTCCGAGTTCATCTGTTCAAATTAGAATGCACCGATTAGGTTACAGCTCTCATAATCTGATCATTTCACATTTGAACATTTTTGTATTAACATAGGAGCTTTTGGGGGAATACCTCATATGCAAACCATAACAATATACACTTAAGTTTTCTTCACGTATTTTCATGGCTTAATAGCTGATATATTTTTTTAAATCACTGAATAATATTCCATTATCTGAATTTGCCACATTTGAATCACACATTTTTGTGTCTATGTTTCAGGTGCCAAAGGATCAGGAAACCTGTATTATCTATACATCTTCATCCCTGCTATTTTGTTCATTGGGGGATTCATTTGTTGTTTGAAAATCAGCGGTTACAGGTATTGACTGATGAATGTTTTTCTGGTCTTAGCTTTATTGGACCAGAAAAGAGTCAGACATACAGAATTGACAGACTGGGTAACTTAGAATATTAATAGCCTTTCTCTCATAGTCAAAAGAGTCTCTTGGAGGTGTTAGATATGTATACTTTGAAAAGTACTCAGGCATGCAAGCATGGGGAATTAGGCTATTTAGGGCAGGATCTTGGGAAACACAGTGCATATTAATTTTTTTGTTTATGAAAATAATCATAATAGTTCCTTTAATGTACCCAAAAATGTGCCACATATATTCTATTGCTTCCAGTTTCTGTTGCATAATTTTACTTCCTTTTTTAAAATTCAGAATTTTCTCGATTGAGTGTATTAAGCACAAGCAGTATTCTTCACTCATTTCTGGTAGTTCATTCGCAATTTATTATGGTTTCTATGAAAATGAACTTTGGTATACTTTTTGGCTTTTGCATTTTTCAATCTAAACAATGACATTTTCTGCATTCATTTCAGCTTATTTCATCTTTCTAGAAAATGTAAATTGAAAAAACCAGAAGCTACTACAGTTGTTGAGGAGGTAAGATAAGACAAAAAAGAATATTTATAAGCTTTTAAGGTGCATAGTCTGAAAATTTAGCAATATCATTTGTAATTTACATCAGTTGAGTTTCCATCAAAACTAAAAAAAACTCTGATTTTGCAATGCTGATATTTAGGTGTACTTATTTTTGTTAATTATCTATCACGCACTATTTATGCATCACCCAAATCCACATTTTCATCTCATAAACTATATCCTAATCATATAATATTTGCCTCCTGTGGACTTTGAAGAAACTGAGTTGGTGTTTCCTTTCCCAGGGAACCATCTGTAATTCTTGACTTCCCTTTTTCAAGACAATTATCATTTCCTGTAAAACCTATCTTGCTCCTTAATTTCTTGTATGCAGTAGCTTACTAAGTCTTAAACTCTCTCCTTTGAAGAAGTACTTCTTATAACTCCAACTACCATGTATAATACTTTAATAAAAAAAAAGAAAAACACTTCTTATGTCACTCCAGTGTCTATTTCTTCTTCCACACAGCTATCACCTCACACACAGATGTAAGTAATCAACAAATACTTTTTGATAGGGTATTAGAGCAAGACCTTGCTCCAATGTTCATGTAAGCTCAGAGACACAAATATAAGCACTATTGATATGCACTAAAGCTGTGGGCATCTGTTAGAAAAAATGCAGGTAATTTCTATAATGATTTCTGGCCTTTCTGGACTGATTTTGACTTTGACTTCTTTTTTAGGATGAAATGCAGCCCTATGCCAGCTACACAGAGAAGAATAATCCACTTTATGATACTGTAAACAAGGTGGAGATACCTCAGGTGTCACAAAGTGAAGTTGATGGCACGGGCCTCCATACTTTATAAATTATTGGACTCTTAACACCAAGAAAAACAAGTCAAGATACAGTCCAACTACTGTTTGGCTTTTCTTACAGTTGTTGAACAGAAGACCTATTTTAAAATTAGTCTTCCTAAGGTTCTTGGAGGACAGAGGTTTTCTAATGAATTTGCATGTCTATCTTTCTGCAATTGGAATTTTAGACTCAGCTGCTATTTTTTGAAGAACTGACGTTATTATCACAAAGAAAGTGCATGCTCATGATAACATTTGAATGGTGCAATACAATGAATAGTGAAATGTTTCCTCAAGAAATAATTTTCCAGAAGGAAGAATCATCAATAGTTTTTTATGTATTATTCTAGAAATTTCTATGTACATATGACATGTGTATATGCCTGTGGTGGTTGTATGCATTTATATGTCATTTTACATATGTTTTTGTACTATTATGTATATACATATATATATATATATTTACACATTTCTTATCAAGATACAAATGGGAACATACTGTAATGCTGTTATATTCTTATAAAAAGCTAATAATGCAAACTTAGAGATCTTTTCTTATCAGCAGAAGCAAAGCTACCTCATTCTTTTGTAATGACTACATAAATTCCACTATATGATAATTTAATTAGCCCCTGCCCTAGCGGTGAACATTTAGATTGTTTTAAGTTTTGTTTGTGGTATAAACAATATAATGTCAAATGTTTTATCTGGATATATCTCTTTGCATTTGTTTAAGTGTGTCTGTAAAATAATTTTCTTGAGTGCAATTGGTGGATCAATTGGTGTTCATTTTTATGTCAAATTGTATGAACTTTCTTTCCTTTCAACAGTGTTTGTGCCATTCCTAATACTCTTATTGTGATAAGAGAAATTCTCAATTCCTCAGTTCCATTTTTTTCTTTTCATTAACCAGTGGTCTAATATGATATAAAATTATAATAAGAATCATACCTTTTAATAATAGATTTGTATTTTTTCATGTTTGCAAAGGAGAAAACACACGTGAAAACTTTGTATTCTTCTGAACATATTGTATCTCTAGAGAAGTGTTGACACCTAATGCCTAAATTTTGTAGACGTTATAAATTGGCATTACGTATTTTTATGCTGTGCATTTTATTCTGCTATATTTATCAAATAACAAATGTCTATGGATTATATAATAAGCTAAATATGCTATGGAGGACTTGGGGGATCTGTATGCTAAGAGAATGGTCATAGAATGCATGACCCTTGGGCTGGGGATGTAGCTCAGGTTGGTAGAGTGTTTTCCTCGAATGCAAAAGGCTCTGGGTTCAATCCCCAGCACTACAAAAATAACAACAAAAAATTACACAATCCTATTTTTCCGTGGAGCAAAATGTTTGGAAGATGTATATTGATTATTTTTAATATCATGAACAATATTTTAGCTATAAAAATTATGAAGAATAAGCCTGTTTGCTCCATAGCAGGACAAACATTAAAAGATTTTTCATCATGATATGATAGAAACTAAAACAAAATCAGTTGTTTCATCTGAGTCATTTAAGACAATTATTTGGTTGTTAATATGTTTTCCTCCCTTCAGACATTTAGTTATTTTAGGCTTTATCATTAAAGGGATTTGTAATCTATTTAAGGATACTGGACTCATGACACTTTCATCAAACCATTTTGACTTCACCAAAGAAAACTCTAGTCCATTGTTTTTGCTTAGAAATATTGTCCAGCAGTGTTTTAGTCAGCTTTTTCACTGTTGTGACTAAAGGATCTGACCAAAACAACTATAGAGGAGGGAATGTTTATTAGAAGGACTCACGGTTTCAGAGGTCTTAGTCCATAGAGTGCTGGCTCCATTTCTCGAGCTTGAGATGAGGCTGACCATCATGGCGGAGTGTGTGGCAGAAGGGAGCAGCACACATCATGGTGATCAGGAAGAGAGAGAGATTCCGGCTTGCTAGATACAAATATATACCCCAAGGCCACGCCCCAATTCCCACCTCCTCAGACGCACACTACCACTTCAGTTACCACTAAATTAATCCCTACCAGGGGATTAAACACTGACTAGGTTAAGGCTCTTACAACCCAATCATTTTTCCTCTGAACCTTCTTGCATTGTCTCACATGTGAGCTTTTGGGGAACATCTTATATCCAAACCATAACAAGCATTATGCACAATAGATAACATGACCCTGTTCTTGACATTTATTAATTTTTATCCATCTGTATTTGGGATTAGGCTCATAAATTGGTAGAAGACTGTTTAAATGCTGAAAAATAAATCAAAAGTTGACAATGTCAAAACAGGAATAGAAAATGCACCATAGTAAAGATTCCAAGATAGTTCATTAAAGTTCAATTTTATTGTACAGGAACCAACTTACGAAAATTGCTCACTGTGGAGGTGAAGCATGGTTGAACGATAGAATTGTGGAGAATTTTTTAAAAATACAGATTTCTCAAATCCACTCTAAATCTGCTGAACAGGAAAGATAAGGATTAATTGAGGAAGCAGAGGCTGAGATGGAATTAGGAGTGATAAAAATTAATTGGGAGAGGAGGTTTTACCTCTGAAAGATTGAAGGACAAGGAGGATAGGGATGGCAAGCTTTCAGACCACGATGTGCAGATCTGAATGAAGCCTGTGAAAGGAAAGAGGGGAGGAGCACATTTGAGAAAGAAGAACCTCAGATCACAATATAAGTATTGTCCAAGTCTTGACCAAACCAATGGGCAGCTGGAGTAAAAGCAGTCTTTTATAAGAGGAGTTGATCAACTCCTCATAGGCATCAGCTGGGGGCTGTCCAGGAAGAGCACAGCCTGGCTCAGAGGCTGAAATGGCTGCTGAAGATGTCAGCAACTGGGGACTGTCAGTTAACTGCACTCACTGCTTGCAATGGACCGCTAATTTTTTTTTTTAATTGATGGGAAATCTGAACAGCACATTTACATGACTATGGTAAGCTATTTTCAACCCTTCAGTGAATTTTATTGTAGTTGTACTTTTATAAAGAAACTACCACTTTTTAAATAAAAAAGATGCAACCGACTTTTATTAAATACTTTGAGAACTTTATATGGGAGTTTAAACCACACATATTTCTTGTGACTACTTACAATTTTGGTCATATTTTCACAGTCTTATTTTATATGTCTCATTACTATGCTTTCTCCTGCCCCTTCATTGTACTTTATTATTTTTTCTTTTATATGTTTTACTGAATTGCAAATTCTCTTTCCTCCACCCTACCCCCTCTAATACTTTCAAAGTTATCCATTAGTAACCCATTATAACATACCTCTATTAGTAGTTATGTTTTATTTATGGACATCTATAAACAGCTTTATTAAGGTTGATAGTATATGCATTATTAAGTTTACACATTATTAAGTTTTCACTTGAGAAATCATCAGGATAGTCAATATAATAAACTTGTTTATCACTCCAAAAAGTTTTCTTATGTCTCATTTATAACTGTAAGCCCAAACTATTCGTGTTGCCCCCATTCCCTGCTCCCTAGGTAACAAAGATCTGCTTTCTGTAACTATGCATTAATTTGTACTTTATCCTCAACTTTATTCCAGAAGTTTTATAGTTTTAGGTTATACACTTATATTTATGACTTACTTTAAAATATTTTTGTATGTGGTGTGAGATATGGATTAAAGTTCATTTTTTTGCATGCACATATCCCAGCATCACTAAATTACCTTTCAATTTTTTTGTGGAAAATCATTCATCACTACACATATAGGTCTATTTGTAGATGCTCTGCTTTGTTTTATTGAACAATTTGTCTATTTTAATGTCTGCATCACATTGTCATATAGCTTTATAAGACTTGAAAGTAGTAGTATTAGACCCCCAACTTCATTATTTTTCAAAGTACTTTCAGTTATACTAAATAATTCTAGTTTCCATATGAATTTTGAAATAAATTTGTCAATTTCTGCAAAAACGTCTGATTGGGCTTTGACTGAATTGTGTTAAAGCATACATCAATTTGAGGAAATGGATTCCTCAGCAACATCGAGTCATCCAGTCCATGAGTATAGCAGACCTCCCATTTATCTAGGCCTTTCACTTTTTCCCTGTAATGTTTTGTACTTTTCTGTGTATAGTCCTTGCACATCTTTTGTCAGCTTTATCCCTAAATATTGCATTTTAATTGCATTTTATACCTTTTGATGCTATTCTAAATGGCATGTTTTAAAAACATCAGTTTCTAACTTTTCCCTGATATGACATAAAAATAATATTAAATTTTGTATTGACCTTATATCCTGCAACCTTGTTAAATGTAATTATTGGTTCTAACAGCTTTTTTTGTAACCACTATCAGATTTTCTACATAAAAGACCCTGACATCTGAGAGGGAGGACTCACTTTCCTATCCAAGTGACGTTATTTGTTTTATTTACCTAATGCAGTGGCTAAAACCTCTAGAATTAGGTTGTTTGGAAGTAGCAAAAGTGTACTTAACTTGTCTTAATTATGGTTGTAGAGGGAAAGCATTAAGACTTTTACCATTAAATAGTAATTTATCTGAAAATTTTTTGTACACGCCCTTTATTGAATTGATAAGGTTTCCTTCTAGTCTTACTTTTCTGAAAGTTTTTTTTAAAAACAGGAATGGATGTTAAATTTCATCAAAGCTTTTTCTTTGTCTATTAAGATGGTCAAAATAATCTTCTTTTTTGGGTTTTTAATGGGCTGACCTCTTTTTTTTAATATTTATTTTTTAGTGTTCAGTGGACACATCATCTTTGTTTGTATGTGGTGCTGAGGATGGAACCAGGCCACATGCATGCCAGGCGAGTGCGCTACCGCTTGAGCCACATCCCCAGCCCCCTGACCTCTTCTTTGTTTCTACTGTTATCAAGTTCAGTAACCTTTTCTTCTGTAATATATAAACTGGTTTTCATTGCTGTAGTTTTTATTTTTAAAAATTAAATTTGGATCTTACTTTATGTCTTCTATATATTGATTTAGCTTTTGGAACATATGGACTAAATTCATAAAGATTGTTTAATGCCCTTGTCTGCTGATTTTTAAACCTTTGCCAGTTTTTGCCTTAGTGTGGATTCTACTTTTTTGGTTTCTTTGAATGTCTCGTAATTAAACTTATTGTCATAAATATACATAACATAAAATTGATTATTTTAACTGCAGGATGTAATGAAACTAAGTATTTTCTCATTGTTGTATAATCATGACCATTATCCATCTAAAAAATTTTTCAACTTCCTGAACAGAAATTCTGTACCAATAAACAATTCCTATTGTCTTCTCTCCCCTCCCCTTGGTGACCAACATTCTACTTTTTAACTCTATAGATTTGACTACTATTGTTACCTCATATGAGTGGAATTGTGCAGTATTTATCTTTTTATTTCACTTTTATTTCATAATTATCTTTTAGTTTCATCAGTGTGATAGCATGTGTCAGACTTCCTTTTTTTGGTTCAGGTATGGATGCTACTATAAACATACATATACAAATATCTGTTCCTATCTCTGCTTTCAAATATTTTGAGTATGTACCCAGAGATGGAATGACTGGATTACATTGTTATTGTTTTTTAAATTTAAAATTTTTT